AAAACAATGAAAAATGGTAAGAACGAACAGTGGAATACTGGAAGATAAAACAGATTTATTCCATGACAACCATGTCATCATCCTCAGGAATATCATCATAAACATCCACACTCTTAGGTTCCTGTGGATTTTCTTGGGACTCTCGGGACGACATTTCTTGCCTAATCATTGGCCCATATTTCTCATGGGTAGCAACGGCACTGTCCTGATATAAGCAGGCTTTGTCCAGGTAGCCAGCTCGCAGTGCATTTGCAACGCAGGTGTTAGTGATCTTATTCCAAGAATTCTTCACCCAGTTAACAATCTCTGGCAGTCTGGGCTTCACAAAGTTCCCACGTACATTTCTCTCCATTCGGTTTTCAATGTAGTCATTGATTTCCATACGCAGATAGTCCTTGAATGGCTTGTTAATGGCGATATCGAGAGTCTGAAGATAAGCCGTCATCCCTGCAGGAATCATGATTTGGTCGATTCTCCGCTCATGAAGGAAGTTTTTCATGGTTTTGGCGCGGTGTGTGCTGGCTGCATCCCAGATCAGCATCCCTCTTTTGTTCCCGCGCATTACAAGCGGCAGCATTAAATCAAGCCACTTTCTTATAACATCTTGTGTGGCCCAGGCTTTTTCAGTTTCCAGCACATAAATGCCAGAAACCCGCTCAATCTTCTCCTTCTTGCCCTTTGCAATGAGTAGCGGTGTTGCTTAAGTGCCATCCAGACGAATCGTCAAAATGCAGGTGACACGTGCACTTTCATAAGCGGTGGAGGGAACGTACACTGAGGAGGCACCTCGTTGATCAATGGTGGTTTGAGCTGCTTGGCCCATGAACACGGCAGTTTCATCCATGGCGATCATGTTGCAAAGACTGTACTTAGAGAAGTCAATATCATCCACAAACTTCTTGTAGGCTAAAATCAAAATCAAATCAAATTTTATTTGTATAGCACATTTCAGCATCAAGGCATTTCAAAGGGCTTTACATAGTTAAAATAAAAACAGCATGTGACGCAAACAGTGAGAAAGAGAAATAAAAAGAAAGTAATAAAAAGATAAAAAAAAGATAAAAACATAAAAAAAACAAATACATTGAAGACATCAAAACCCCACACTCTAATCCTAATTTAACCATAAGCAACTCTAAACTAAACTCTTAAACTAATGTCCGTTTAACAATCTCAGCATCTTCCAACCTAAAGAGGGTTGTGGATCTTCTCAAAGACAGGTCATTGCGTTCAAGAAAGTTATCCACCCAGTGCTGTGATGCCTTGAATTGTTCAGGGGAAATGTCAAACTGTGGCAACACTGCAAGGGCATATTCCTGAATCTCAGCCCTGGTCACCACCAATGTCTTTGCTCTCCTGTCTGCAACCCACTCAGAGACCAGGCTTTCCAGCTCTGTATACATTGGTTGCCGACCACATCCAATCTTGCGCTTTTTAGCCATTCCGCTCTCCACTTTTTCACTCAGGTTAGTGTATTCTGCACGCCATTTTTGGACCAGTCGGTGATCCAACATTTTCTCCTTGCAGAACTGCACTACATTTTTGCCCCAAGATTCTTCGACAATCGCTTTTTTATACTCCACGGTGTAACTCTTCCTTTTACCACTGGAACCGGAAGCGCTCATGTCTAGGGGCAAAAATATAGCATACGGTATAAGCACTGCTTGTGGTTCCGTATCACAGTCTCCCATAGGGTTACAGCCCCATACAGTATCCCAAACAGCGTGTTTTTGTATGCATCTAACCCAGTGTGATACAGTACCACTTGCTGTATTTAATCCAGTGTGACACCTGCTGATACCCACTGGGTTACATACAGCAGATGATACCCCAGTATGCCAGTGTGTATGTTTTACTGATGTATGATTAATACTGCGTGCATTACCCTATTTTAAGCAGGAGGCGGCAGTGACAAGTGCAGGGGACGGCGCGGTGACGTATGGAGGGGGGGGCGGCGCGGAAGTGGGCAGGAGGCGGCGCTCATTAAGATCAGAGGGAGGTGGCAGACGCGGTGACGTATGGAGAGGGGGACGGTGCGGACGTGGGCAGGAGGCGGCGCGCAGCTAGATGAGATGTGTTTCCCCGAAAAGTAAGACATA